CCCCCCCCCCCCCCAGGGCTTTGCTGGCTGATAATTAATTGCTTATTTAACTGCAAGCTGGCAGATTTTTTAATCTGGGTATACCTCCCCAAGGGCCAATGCGATGCCCATGCAAGCCCACCCGGCAGGCGGCTGTCGTTCTAGGGTGGCAGCCAACCCTGCAAAACCCCTCTGAGATTTTGGAGATGCTTTTGCTGTTGCTTCACACTTTGCAACTGCTCTTCTTTTTGGTGTGCAACAAGCTCACAACTAGCTGGGTCACACAGGGCTCCTTCCAGGTGGGCTCCTGCCAAAACCTCAACTGTGCAGTGGGCTGCTTTAAAAGGACCCATTGCCTCAGGTTGCATTGAGGCCAAAAAGCCTAAAGCCTGAAGTTTTGGGGTCTGTTAACCTGTGTAGTGACATAAAATGCAGTTCCATGGTATCTGACTTCTCCACTATCCTCAGGGCTCTCTGTACTACTATAAATTTACATTTTCTATCATATAAGGTCACTGTATCTAGCTGGAAGAAACTGGCAGCCTCTTAAGTTTAAGCAAGGATCAGACGCAGAGTTGTTATTAAATATTAGAGCCAGGTGGGGCAATGCCCTGAAAATTTCTGGCTCATGCAATCCTAGCTTCAGATGAGGAATGCTGCCTCCCCCAGGGCAGAGCGTGTTACAGTTTAGAGGCAGAAAACACCAGTGCTGCAGACAAAAAAACAGCTGGGTGGTTGTTTAGGTGAAGCTTATCTGTGCCTATGGCAGGGTCACGATGAAAGAGCTCAAATTGGCAGCATCTGCTTGCCTCTGAACTGCTGGGATTCATATTAACACAGGAGCTATGGGAGACCAGAGCTCCATCATGCTTGTCTTATACAGCTGAAGGGCTTGGACTCTATAAAAATCATATAAATAGTGAGGGCAAAGCACAGAGAGAGGGAGGAGAGGCTTGGGATGACCATCCAGGTTAGTGCTTTTTTGGAAGAGAGCTATAGAGACTCACAGCCGTGTTTCATTGCTTACAGAAGTTCATCATTATAGGAAAAGTCTGGATAGCTCATCCCTATAGGAAAAGTGGCTGGAGTGACCTTTGCTGCTTCCTTTGTGGGTTTCGCCTGTGGTGGCAAATTTACGGTGTGCTTCTCTCTGATCAATTCATGTTTTGTACTTCCCTGCCCACAATTTTGTAATGGCATAAATGCATGCCCGAGGGGGCTGGAAGCAAGGATCCTGTCACCGCAAGCCTTGCCTGCACGTGCGGAGGGCGATTGCGTGGCCAGAGTCAGGCTCTGCAGAGAAAACAGGGGAGAGAGACTGGACTGACCAAGAAAAGCTGGAAGAAAAGCAAAGCAGGGAAATTAGCAGGTGAAAGGCAAGATTTTTCAATGCTTTATCCCCAAATATGAGTTGTTTTCAAGAACAACATTTTCTGGGGTCAGTAAGTCAATGAGGAAGTTTGCAGAAGAGCTTGAAACCAGCCCGGAAACCTTCATTCATGCTTCGTTGCCAATTCTTTAACGCTGCCCATGTTTGCAGCAGACCCACCACTGCAGGGTCTGGCCTAGGAGTAGGTGTCTGAGGCATTACAAGTTACAGTCGCATTACAGCTCCCTTTTCCAGTTTCGATGATTTGTGAGTCCAGCTTTGAAATCCTCACACAAAAGTACTGCAGGCTGTGAGACGGTAGGAAACTGCTTCTCCAAGAGCTGTCCCTGCTCCCCTTTACCTCCTGATGCCGACCCCAGCACTCGTCGGATGGATTTAACCCATTCCTCCATCTCAGACTGGGAATTAGCCATGAGCACGCAGGTGTCCTGCCCTGTCCGGTTCTGGTCTCCAGAGACTCCTGAAAAAAAAACGTTTATGCGTCGTTTATAGAGAGGATTGGAGGAGTAAAGACACATTCTTCTTGTTTGCTTTGCTAAATGCTTTTGGCTCCATATTTCCCTGTTAATCTCTGTTTGGCTGTGAAATGAAGCAACGCTCTTTATGTTTCACCCTTGCTGAAGGGCTGCAAGAAAGGAACAGAAACTGCTTAACGTTGCAGCTTGGGAAGGCTTCTCAGCATGGGACGTGGGCACTGACACAGGGTACTCCTCCAGCCCTAACGAGAATGTCAAAAGCAAGATGTTCGTTTTCATGTGCACCGCAGCCCTGTGGGGACCTTGAAAAGTAATGGGAGCAAAAGGGATGGCAAAATGACTTGCCCAGATGATTTGGGGTGAACAGCCCAGCCCAAAAGTGTGCAACGAAGAGGAGTGAAGCATCCTCACCTGGGATGATTTCGAAGATAAATTTCCCTCCTTCCTCTGGGTTGCTGGCCACCTCCTTGATGGTGCTTCCCTGGAGAGACAGGCAGCCCTAGGACAAAGCAGAGCAGGAGCTGCAAATAGCCGTGTCGCATCTCTGCGAGGCTGACACTACCATGTGTCAGCACTGAGGATCGAAGTCCTTCTTTCAAACAGATTGCAGGAGCTGGTGGCCTATATATACATATATATGCTAAAAACGACTTTTCAAACAATAACGGACACTTCTTAAATGCCATTTTTTTCTGATGAAGTGATTCTCAGAATGAGAAAACTGGTCATTTTGTTGTTTCCTTTTTTTCTTCCCTTCTCATGTTTTTTTTAACCCCCAGTGGTAGTGGAAGAACAAAGTATAAAGGAGAAAGGACTTGGCAAAACATTGGAGCATCCTGTTTCTGCTGCAGCAGAGCAGGAAAACTGTTCCTTTAGCACAGCATCACTTAAAACCAAAAAAAAAAAACCCAAAGTTTGCAGGAGAGGAGTAGAGAAAAAGAAGAAAAAGGGAGGGAAAATAAAGAAGCAAAGTGGAAATGAGCCATTTCTTTTGTATCTTCCTTTCCCCAACTGTCGTGGTGAACACGGGCAGCTCTGTCCCCGCTGGAGAGGATGGGTGGGGAGCGGCCGAGGCATTGGGGCTGAGCAGGCATGTGAGTCAGCACCGGAGGCCTCCCAGGGCAGGAAATGAGGCTGCGCCACTGAAATAACATTTCTCGGCAATTTCAGCCTCCTGAAAGCCATTGGGCTCCTGCGAGCAGTGAGGACTCTCAGCGCTCCGAAAGCCTGAATGGCAGCTGTATCAGTCAGAATCATTGATGGGATCAGAGGGGTTTGAAATGACCCGGGATGGTGCATCAGGGTCATGGTGAGAGCTGCCAAAAGCGCCATGAATGGCAATAAGCTTTTTGCAGCAGTTTCTGTTTCTACATCCCGTTTACAACCAGGGAGACCATTCTTCCCAGTCATCCCTGAAACGGGGCAAAGCCAGAAATAGGACCTGGACCCCACCAGGCTCAGCCCTGTGCTTTCACCCCAAGGATCTACTGATCGCCTTCCCCTTAAAAGCATTTTCTATCTTGAGTTTAGTTTTGCTACCAGTAAGAATTTGTAGAGACTGGCTTTTCCTGCAAAGGGGAGGACCTTTCCCTGAAGTTTCTCAAAACAAGGACAGGATGGCGGATATTCAAAAGTAAGTTACGGTATGGAGAAAGTGGTTGAAAAACTAAGAAGTTATCCATATAAATTGGAAAAACAATCTGATATCTTCCTGGCAAGTGTACTACAATGTGTACCCTGCGAAATGGTTTATACATGTGAGACAGAGGGCTTGTTACGACCTGGAGGGGCTGAAGATGTGATGATGCTGCCAGAGGGCTGCAGACCCTGATGTCGGCACTGGTGCAGATGTTTAAGTCATGCCCAAGTGGGTGATCACACTCCTGTTTTGTGCAAAGGGCTGGGTACACACTGTGTTCTCCTGGGGATCTCAAAACCATCAAAACTGACACGCACCAGTGCGTTCGGTGGACTTCAAGCCTTCTCCCTTAGAGCAAAAGGCAGTGGGGCAAGTTTCCTCTGGCTGCAGGGGGTGGACCAGGGCAGCAGCCAAATAACACAAACTGCATCTGCACCACTGAGCCTTCTGCAAAGGATGAGGCTGGGCCGAGGTGGGATACAAATCCCGAGGCTGGAGAGAGAGAGATTTCCTTTCCTTATCCCTCCAGCTGCCCTCTCCCACAGCAAGAGGTCCGAAGGCAGCTGCCCTTTGTCATCATCTTTCCAGCCCACAGCCCTGCCATGAGCTCTGTCTTGGGCAGATCCTCACACTCAGGCTATGCTGAAAGTCCTACTTGTTTCTTCCTAAAAGCATCCTGCAAGATGCCTTTCCTGCCAAGTGCGTGGCTGAAACTTCTCTCAAAGCTCCCATCATCTTCTGCACCCATCGCTGCGCCTGCCATCACAAAAATGGTGGTGTACCGAGCTCTTTTTCTCCCCAGGCTTTTTCTGTTGTCTTGGAGAATGATAGCAACTTTCTAGTTGGTAACTGTTTGGTCTTTTCCAGTACCCCGTTGCTTTGGCACAGAGGGACCAAGCCCCCAGCAGGGCTTGCAGGCACTTTAAGAATTTAAGTGCATAGATGATCCTGATCAGGATATCTCATCTCTGCTAATGCCCAGAGGCAGAAAACCTCTTTAATACCCTACTCCAGACCCATCCCAAACCATTTCCCTACGAGCCAAGTTGCAAGAAGGGGGAGACTGAGGACACGCAAAGCCCAACGGCCTCGTCCTACCTGTGGTTTGACATCATCCTCGTCCTTGTAGTAGTAAAGCTGCTGGCCCTTAAGCACGAAGTACCGCTGCTGCCAGTTCTTGACGATGGAGCGCTGCTTTTTCAGCCAGCCGATCTTCAGAGGCCGCTCCAGCGGGTTGGGGGAGGCCGGCCGGGCACCCGCCGGCTCGCCGCTCATCACGCTCTTGGAGCGGGCTGCCAAGGAAAGAGAGGGACGGGCTGGCGGGGACCCACGGGGTCGAGCCGCCAGCAGACCCGCGTCCCCAGGGCCGATTTAAGCTACAACAGCGAGAGCGGCTCTCTGCCCCTCTGCCTGTGCTGAGCAAACTGGCTAGAGTTTTTAAAGGAAGTGGCTGCAGTATCTGTCAGTATGTGCTTCCTTTTTCCTGCGTGGGAGTAATTGTCTTGCAAGTGAGAAGAAAATCATTAGCTTTTTTTTTTTTTAATGGGAGTGTGTGTTTTTTTTATACCCACCCCAAACAGCCTGCAGCAGCGATAGCAGAATGACCCAGCCCGGCTTGAAATAAAACTGTTTGGAAATGGCAGTTTTGCTCCAGGAGAGCGTTGCCTGATGTTTCCAATGGGGCAGTTCTCACACAATGAAACTGGAAAGTCTTCAAGGAGGGGGAAAGTGCCAGTGTGGATTTACCGGCCGGGCAGAGCAGTGTCCCATGTCTCCTCTTTGCATCGAATAGATGAGTCCTGTGCTGGGGACCAGCAGCATGGCCCTATGGCATCTCTAAATGCTTCTGTGATAGTAAACGCCTTGGGAGGGATCGTTTCCAGAAAGGATTTTTGCCCCTGGACGGGGCACTGCAGGACCCCAGTGCCAACCCAGCTGGGCAGAGTTAGCATTTATGGCCACAGGGCAAAAATAATTATATGACTCCAGGGGAATTCAGCTTCACTGGTCTCTGCAGATGGTGATTTCCTGAGGTCTAAGATCTCCCCTGCTAAAACAGAACTGATGGCACCTGGCTGGGTCCTGCGGGTGAGGGCAGTGCAGGATTTGGGCCCGTGAGCCCAGCAGCGTTTGCTGGCAGAGGGCATTCTGGCTGAGCCATGACTGTGAGGGAGGTGTTGTGCAATGCCGTGGGATGGTGGAAGCTGTGACAGCCCTGTATCTCTGCCCCCAGATGCCCTCTTTTCCCCCGAGCTGTTCAGCGAAGCAGAGAGCTGCAAAAGCTGCCTTAGATATGAGTGTCGATGAATCCAGGCGTAGACCTGAGTGCAAAGGACAAGCTTAAAAAATCAGAAAATTAAAAATGACCCGCCACTGCCTTGTGATGTTTGGGGCTGGGGACATCTCACACCTGAGCAGGTGCTCCCATTGCACAGACACCCACAGGGAGCACGAGCCTACAAAACATTCGGCACTCAGTGCCGAGCAGTGAGCAGTTGTTCAGAGGTCGGGCGTGCTGCAGTTCAAGAATGTGCCCGGCTTCCCCTTCTGAAATCCCCTGGAGCGAGAAACCCCACTGCGTTTTGCCTTTGTCCTTTGGAGCCGGGCTTGGATAGGGTGCTCTAAGCTCACCTCTCCATCCTTTCATGGGATTGCAAATCACTTCCCCAAAAAATCAAATAGGATTGTGAATCCAAAAATCAGCCTTCGGAGTGTGGTGAGGATGCTGCTTGTATCTCAGGATGTGCTGATGTGGGATGCCCCCTGCAGAGGATGTGGTTGTAAGCAAGGACCTTCGAAAGGGATTTGCCAGCCAGCTCCCCTGAAAAATGCTGGTACTGGGGATTACCCTGATGCAAAAACAAAAATGGGGTTTCCAAATTGCACCTCGCGCTCCAGGCAGCTTCTTTGCTCTTTGCCAAAACATCTGCATTACTCAAATCTCATCAATATTAATGAATCTCAGCAAACTGCTCAGGAGCAGCATCGTTCCTCTCTGTAAATCATGTTCCTTCATGTCTTGCAGCTGCCGCCAACTCCTTGGGGGCGAGGGTTTTTGGGGAATGATCTGCAGGGGAGGAGCAGCCACCGGGAGCATGGAGGCTACTGGGTGCAGGGTGCTGCCTGCTCCCACGAACGCTTCGCTCTGCAGAAACCACAGCCCATTGCCAAAGAGCAAAGCCCGAGTGGGCTGCTTCCTAACTAGCCTCACTCTGCAGAAAGCAGCACTCCCACGAGCCGCACTCCGATGCCTTTCCAAATTTTGCTGCATGTTCTCCTATCCGATCATAGGACCTCATCTCCCCCTCCATCAAAGATGCTGCTGTTTGCTCTGTTTAACTAGCACTAACATTTGCAGAGTGATGTCTCCCTACCAAGCACCGATGACCACAAGGGCTTAATTTGAAGTGAAGCTGTTGCGACGCAGCTCACAGGGTCCATACTCACACCCAAATGGGTGAGAAATCAGGGATGTGTCTCCATCCACTCCGTGTTCAGCCTTCCCCAAAGAGCTCAGCTCAGCCCAGCAGCACTGATACTCCAGCACCACAAGACTTGGAAGGAGAAATTGCGTCTTTTATGAAAAATGCAACATTATACTATCTTCTATTGGAGATATTAATCTCCCTCTAAGGCCATCACGGCTCCATCAGGGCTCTGCACTATGGAAAGGAAGCGGTGTGGCAGGCACTGCTACCCAGGGGTTCCTCCTGCTCTCAGCCTTGAGCTTAAATTTCCTGGTCCTTGCTGGAAATAAGGTTTATTCTCTCCCTCTTTGCAGCTTTTCCCAGATCTATAAGGAATGTGCATTCAGAGGGGTACACTTGGGTCCCCTTTCTTTAGCATTGGCCCTTCTGAAACGCCAGACTCAAGGTGCAACCGAAGGTCTGTGCTTTGCCGTGGCTTAGCCCTGTTCATACTTATGCACCGGTGTCAACATGTATTTTCCCTCTGCATGATACAGCTCTGCCTATACTATGGGCTTATTTAAGGCCAAAATAACAGTTTGTAGGATCCTTCTTACCCACAATGCGAGCACTCCCCAACCGCTGGCCCCACCACGGGGCTCTTGCGGAGGCGTGGGGAGGGAGCTGCTGTGGGGAGCTTGGCGTTGCAGACAGCGAGGCTGTTTTTGCCCAGTGGAAAGTTTTCTGCGTTCACAAAACCAGAATGACCGAGGCTGCGGCTCCCTCCCTCACCGCTTTTCCAGGTTTCTATCTTTTGTGGCCAATGTGATGCCCAGCTCTCGTGCGATGACCAGCTGAAAATTTTATGCAGGGCTGGGGTGGAGCCTTTTTCCTGGTCCTCACCAGGCTGGCCCAGCACTTGCCATCATCCTTCAAAACATCCCTGCCACACTTAGCCCCGCTCCTCCTTGCCACTCTCGCAAGGAAAGAGCCACTAAGAGCAAATGTGGTGCCCCCTGAAGCGTTTCCTGCAGTAACCGCCTCTGAGGCTGAATATTTCCTCCAAAACATCCTCGCTCTTCCTCCAGCCCTGGGGACGGGCTGTAGCAGGGTGCCTGCGTCCTGCTGCCTGCTTCCCCAAAAGAGGAGCTCTGCCAAAGCGTGACTTGCAGGAGAAATTGCATTGGGTGTCACCGTGGTGTCCACATCGACACTGGCTCCTGCCCCAAATCCTTGTCCTGGGCAGGAGCCCTCCCTGCCATCCCCTTTGCTCCTGCCCTGCAGGAGGGATGTCGGGTACTTGCAATAAAAACCAGTAAAAGCAAAAGTGCTACAGTAGGTTTTGCAATGAAAATTGCAAAGGCAGTTTTTCATTGAAATAAATAGCTTTGCATTTTTCTCAGCATGAGGAAGCACACGGGAGCCGTCGCGCTGTCCTGAGGCTTACAAAAGCTGCTTGTGCCACGGCCACGGCTGGGGATGAGGAGGGGGAAGTGTCCCGAAGCTGGGAGGAGCCAGCGAGGGCAGCGGTGACTAATTTGCAACTAATTTCCACAAGCAAGTCACATCCCTGCTGCACCCCTGACGACGGCAGCGGCTGGTGCCTGCAGCCAGAAACCCCGAAGCATGAGAAGAGTCGAATCACCGAGCTGTGCCCCAACGCTCAGGTCTCTGCACACACACACAACCCTCGTCTCAGGGGCTCGCTCACTCGCAGCAGCTGCAAGCTGCAAAAAGCACCCAGAATTTCATGATAAGCAGATTTTTCTTGAAAAAAAAAAAGCAATACCTGGTAACAACCCAGGTTCAAGCCTGTGTCCCACCTCCACCCTCTCTGCTTCCCAGCAGCCAGCAGGCTCAATGTCCCCTGGCCTTTTTTTCTGAGCTACTGAATTTGACCCCTGCTCCGCAGCCTCTGCAAAAAAAAAAAATACTAATTTTGCTAAGAACGGGCAATGCAGAAATCCAGAATGCTTCTGTGATAACTACGTGAGGATTTTTCCACTGTTGTCCTGCAAACTGATGAGTTGAGGTGATGGCACCGCTTCCTCTGCCCACCTGCAAGCTTCTGGGTCGCCTGGGGTCTCATCCTGCACATCGCTGTGCATCGCTGAGCCAGCCACAGCCACTGGGGACCAGCGGTGCTTCATCTGGGGCCTTGTATGAAGTCCAAATTGCCTTTGCAAGAAAATCCAGCCAAGACGACCTTGCAAGCTGATGCAAGGCGTGGGGAGGAAGAGCTCAGCACCGCAGAGACTGGTTTGGGCAAATCTCTCTGCTGCAGGGAGAAATCAAGTTGCCAATGTGTACCTTGACCAGTGCCAGGACCATGGAGGGCCTTTGCCTCAGTGCGCACACAACCTTGGGCTTGTGCACCCCTTCCTTGACTGCAGCATCCTCACCCCCAAATCCCCTCCCTGCTTGCGTGACCCAAAAGCAGGCGTTGGCTCCGCCGTGGTATTTTGGACACAGAGCCCACTGTAGGGATCCCTCACTCCTTCCCAAAGGCGTTCTCAAGTGGTTTTCATGCTGGAGATGGATCCCATGGCAGAGGAGAGCCGCGCAAAGCCTGGGCAGAGGCAGGAGATAGGTCAGGAAATCAGACAGTGAAGCCGTCCCGTGGCACAGAGCCCGGCGCAGGCATCAGAGGGCTCTTTACCACCGGTGAGAGGAAACCAATGACGCTGGGGTGGGCGAAGAAACCTGAGCAAGAACAAGATTGCTTCCTCCAGCTTTCACCGCTCCGTCCGCCTCTTGGCCTGCACTTCACCTCCTGCAAGGCTTACGCCAGCAGAATGACCCCATGTGGTTTAAATTCCCCCCAAACCTGGGGTTTGGGTGGGCAGCAGCCCCACGCTGCCAGGTCCCCCCGTTCCCCACCCTACAGAGACAGCCGCTGCTCCGGCCCCAGAGCCACAGCCCCGGCCGTGCTCCCACAGCATCCCTCGGTGACAACTTTGCAAATCACTTCTTGCAAATTATTTGCAAACCATCTGCTGTTTCGAAAGCGGTAGCCAGGTCCCCCCACCAAGGCCAGAAGCGGGTTCGGGTCTGGGCCGTAGCCAAAATCGCTGCTGGGCTTGGCCACAGGCACCCCGGCAGACCCCAGTATGCACCTGAAAGGCTGAAGCAGAAACAGAAGGGCATAAAGAAACAGTCACAGTACCTATTTTTGCAGCATCCATTTTCAGGTTGAAATCCCAGTTCCGTGGCAACTTGAGGGACATTTTGCATCAGGAGGGGCTTTTTTTTTTTTTTTTTTTTTTTTTTTTTGAAGAGGGCTTCCTTAGGAGACAGGCTGAAATGAAGCTCTGATAGTCCCGTGGGGATCCTGCGCCCGGGGTGCGATCCCCCACACGAAGAGCGACAGCTCGGCAAGGGTTGATTTGCCAACGTACTTCCTCCTCCCTCCTCTGAGAGCGGCCGTGAACAACCCCATAAAAGTACTTCCCTGCCCTGCTTTCCTGCAAAGCTCTTGTCTTGCTTCCCCGACGCCGCCAAGGTGATGCTGCCTTTTTATTTCTCCCCTTTTTGCTCCCCCCTTCACCTGATGCGGAGATGCAGCAGCCCGGCCCCAGCCGGCACCGAAACGTGGCTGCCCGGGGTTGCTCTCTGCACGCTGCTCGTTGCATTTGAGGAAGTGGGTGTCCTTCTCGGCGCCGTTGGTGCGCTAGAAGATTGCTCGCTGAAGGACACGGCCCAGCACAGGGTTTTGGGAACTGCTGTGCTCAGCAGCAAAGCAGAGCAGGCTGTGGCTCAGGTGGCCACGGCCAAACGCCACAGGACGGCGTCTCTGAATGTCCTACTGCGTCCCCATGCGCACAGCCCGGATGACATGGGTGTCTTTTGCATTTTCTTATATATATATATAGTCCCAACAGCTGATTTAGGGGTTTTGCGCCTACTTTGTAACAGTGGTATGAGCAAAATGGGGATGAAATGAGACTGCTCTTGGAGGAAAGGCTGTGGGTACCAGAGCAGTGAGGGCCAGGGGATGTGGGCGCAGACCCCACCAAGACCACCGGATCAAGCAGAGCCCCTTTCCCTGCTCACAACAGCGAGTGTATCCTGTTTCATGTCATTTAATGCTGGTTTTCCACCAAAGAAATGGCTGTGCACCTGCAAAGCAGACTGCAATGCAATTAGACTGAGATACAGCTCTTACGATGCGGGAGAAATGCGAGGAAGGGTTGTTGCATTCACAAACACTCAAACGGAGCAAAAAGCAGCGAGGGCGGCTGCAAGACATGGCAGTGTGTCCCGAGAGGCTCACGGGAGGCTCCAGCCCCGTTTCCCCTCCATACTGGGAAAGCCCAGGCATTGCGGAGAGGGAAGTTGCCCTGAGCAGAAGCAGAAACAGCGATGTGGGGAGTGCAGGGGGCTGAAAGAGGACGCGGCCACTGGTTCCCGTTCCGATTTGCAGCCCAGCCAGCTTGCATGGGATGCACCCAGCCACTTGCCATAGCTTTTTTTTCAGTCCCGTAGCATAAATTGAGGATGTGCCTCTCAGGGAAGGAGCTGGAGCCTACTCTGACTGCCCAGGGTGGACCCTGGTGGGCTAATTTGGGTTAATCGCAGCTGCAAACATGAATTTGTTGCTTTGAGCAGCGATTGGAGCCAGCTCGGAGATCCCCAGCTCACATATTCCACCGCCGAAAGCCCAGGGAACGTGACAGCGTGGAAAGCAGTTCTGTCACAACAGAGCAGCCCGGCACTTACCCAAGCCTGAACTACATTAACCCCAATATCCTGCTTTGGACCCAAACTGCCTGAATTAACTGTTTCTGCTGTACCCTGAGCAGAGGGCCCTGAATGAGCCCTGAATTAAGCATCATTTTTTCCTCTTTTTTCATAATATCTGCAGAAAGCTCTCGGAGCTCTAAGGGGTCATGCATTTTGATCCTTTTTTTCTCTTCAACCTGTTTTGGTTTTTGCGAAAGCCTGGCAGCAGCTGCTGAACAGCCGCCTTTCCCCACCTGCCTGTGCGAACAGGATGTCACGCAGCACTTTCCCCTCCTCGAGAAAGGAAACAAGCAAGCCTTTTAGCCCAAAATCGTGCAATTCAGCCCAACGCTGTGTGGCTCCACTGCAGCGGCTCAGCCCTCCCTGGCCCCCCGAAACAGCCCTTCGCAAGCGCCCCGAGAGCAGTTTCGGCTGCCTCCTGCTTGCTCCCGTCGGGTACCTGGTGGCTGCGCACAGGTTTGGGAAAGGACATCACAAGATTGTCCGAGGGTTTTTTAGCAATCAAGCTGGGCAGCGTGTTCCTGCACCGAATGCCCCAGGGGAACTTAAAAAGGGCAAATCTCAGCCCATAGAGTTGTTTGTTTTGGTTTTACATCCCTTTTCTATCAGGATCTCATGGAAAATGCGTCTGGACCGAGGGTTGCACGAGACCTGCTCGCCTTGGTTTGAGCCTTACTGTCTTTCCGGGTATGGAGCACAGCTAGCACCAGGATTTCCACTGGGAATTTGCTGGTTTGGATGTTTGGTTTGATTTAAATTAATTGGCATGGGATGGGGAGAAAAAAGGAGGAATCTTCAGCAGAAGGGCTGAAATGCGAGCAGCGACGCAGCCGCGCCGGCCGCAGAGGCTGTCAGATGATGTGCCTGAGTCACTGCAAGGCACGGGCACGCACACTGCCCTGCCGCCGGCCGCCTCGGCCGCTCGCCGAGAGGCTTCAGAATCTGTTTTCCAAAGGATTTAACACTGAGGGATCTTTCAAGACCTCTCAGTAATGGCATCTAATTGCTTCGTAGGACTGCTGAATATTGCACGGTGCTGCTCAGCCATTTTCTGCTTAACTGGCCGACTCCTCTGAGGGCGAAGTGTTGCAACGGGAGATTTCGGGCTTTAGAGTAATCTTGCAAGGTTGCTATGAAGAGAGGGCATCATATTCTGTTGCTGCTGGAACTGAAAATGCCCACACAGTGTGACAGGAAGCAAAAAGAGGGCTGCTGATGGGTTGGTTTGGCTTAGCTGATAAGTCAAAAACAGACAAAATAACACAAGAGCTAAAAATAGTATGTTTTGCCGGGTAAACAGAAGGATTTTGCTCTCCTAACCCCATGCAAGTCAGGAGAAACAGCTGAAATGAAGCAATAATTTACGCTAAGTGAAATCCCGACACTTTTCCACATTCCCAGTGAAATCTTTAGGGTAAAATGAGCCGATTTGCAGGGGGCAGCAGTGCCAACACTTCCCTCATCTTCGATCAAGCTGGGCCTGTACGATCTGATCACAGCTTCCGCTACAAACCGCCCTGGAAACGCGGCTGTTTGCGTCCCTCGTGCAGGACAAGGATGGCCCGATCCTGCCTGCACGCTCAGCCCCTCTGCAGCCCCCACGTGCGTCTTTGCCGCATCCGAGTCCGCTCTTAGGAAGATCCCCGAGGAAGGAGAGCTACGGGGCAAGGAATGGGAGAATCTGAGTTTAAAACAGACCAATCTGCTTTAAAGAGGACAGAAAGGAGGGTTTCAGCATCTCCCCCATCTGCCGACAGCGCTGAATAAAACTCCACTACAGATAATGGAACTTATATTTATTTAACAGTAACATATAGTATATAAATAGGGTAAATACTTTAAAATATACAATATATCACATTCGGACATTCGGTCAAAGAAAGGCAACTCTACATGTGTATCTAAAACATTAATCAAAAGACCAATGCACAGAGAAAGAAGCAGATGGTAGAAACACATCAGGTCTGGAGAACAGGAGCAGACAAAGAATACAGTAGTACAAAATGCAACTCCGGGGCTGGTTGAGAGGGCAGGAACCATGGGAGCTTTCACGCGATGCTTTTTGTGACAAATGCCTGTCCCCAGGAGGGTCTGGATGGGCCGTACGGACACTTTCCACACAGCTTTGCCCTCCTCCTACCACACAGAGCCGCTTCGGGGAGGCGGGGGAAGGAGAGACGCCGGGATCCAACCGCAGCCGTGCTCGGGGAACCCACTGCACGCACCAGAAACAGGAGACACACCTCGGAATATACAACACCAGCATTTTGCAACCTGGTGCCACGTGGTAGCTGATGCTACGGGATTTTCAGCTTCATGAGCTGCACAGCGTACCATAAACCCCAGGCAATGGCTGCCCCTTCAGATCAGCGTCAGCATCAGCAGACTTCTGAGCCTGTCACCCCAAAGAATACCTAAATCATACACGCTGAATGGCACAGGACATGGGACTGTACGCAGAAACTAGGTTTTGATGTTTCGCTGAGCACTGCAGGCCACGGTCTGGCCGTTCACCCAATTTGCAAACTAATTTGTCTACAACCAGCCTTGGAGAAGCGGATTCCTGTCACAGCATGCCATCATCTACACGGACGTAGCCCAGCCGTGCCTGCTCCGGCTGTGCATCAAACCAGTGTCCGACCCATATCGCTAAATGACCCACCAGCAAACAAACGTCACGAACGTTCAGTCACCTCACCAGGACAGCCAGCTTCTCACGCTATGCTACAGCAGCTTTCTAGCCACGTGCCATCCCCTTGCTCGTTAAATATGCTCATGTCCTTCTCTGTCCGCTCCAACTGGAAAAGCAGCGACTGCTCGTTTCCAAACCAGCCTGTCCCCTGCCAGGCAGCAGTAATACCCTCGTAGGCTTCACACTGGCCAAATCCTACCTTTCTCTTCCTCCCGATCCAAGCACACGCGCCGGCTGATTCGGTATCTCCCCCCTTGCTGGCCTGCTCTCACACTTATTTCCCTCTTGCTGGGCACAAGCAGGAGGAACTTCTCCAGTCGTGGAGCCCACTGTGAACAAAAACTACTGTGCAATGCCGAGCTTGAGCCCTGCAGCTGGAGAAACTTCAGGGCAGCATCCCCGCATCACCTTACCTAGACATCCCTGCTGTCAGTGGGGCCTCTCCCGCAGCACCAGCTACGTCAGCCTCCCTCCAAACCCAAAATCCTGTGAGAGCTGCGGCGTGACCAGGGTCCTGCAGGGCTTAATGCAATGAAAAGAGGTGCGACGCGTCTTGCTACACGACATCACAGTTAACTCCTTTAGGGACAGCCAGAGCCAGTACCATCAGCTCTTCATTTCCTCTAACTTTCTGAAGTCTACCTTGAAATATCTACGGCAATCGAAAGCGACTGATGAGCTGGGCTGATGGGGACACCCACCCAACGCTCCCCCAGAGAGCACGCTGTCGCTGAGCTGAGTAGTACTATGACATATATTCCCACCAGCGGTGTAGAAGTGGGTTTGCCAACCACAGCTCTCAGCCCGACAGAAGACACGCTACAGCGCTCACCAGTATTTCCCAGCGAGATCAGCCTGCAAATAACCTGAACGACGCCCCGTCTCCCTCCCTTCCTCCTCCGTTTCCCAAATGGATGCACTGTTCCCATCCAGTTTACTGAGCTTCAGTGCGGGATGCTAAACCCTTTTTACGTAGCTTTACCCTTCAGCATCAAAGCAGGCTTGGAAGTCCACCCTTCAACTGCACTGCTGGGAAGGAAGCAAGGAAAAACTGGCAGCTAAGCAGAAAAGCCACCCACACGCATTATTGCTGCTGCTTCTCTCCCAGCCCTGGGAAACCTCTAAATGCAACTGCTTTGCCCTCCAGTGTCCACAGCCAGCACTGCACCCTGCAAAAAGGCCCAACGGCGACTTCAAATCAAAAGCATGCAGAAAAAGCTTTGCGTTCGATTTTTGCCCCACTAATTACAACTAAAGGTTTAAAGCAAGACGAGCAGGAGGCTAAAGACCCATAGGAAAATTTTCTTAATATATAAGAGCAGTACAGTTTTGTAATATTTATCAACACTAGAGCTTCTTCTGATGACTGACTTATGACCCAAGAGTGCACTACAAGGGGGTTTGGCAGATGTTGGCGACGGGCAGGGAGAATCCAGAAAAGCACCAGCTCGTCTGACCCCACAGGACAAACCACTTCTCAGGGACCACACAAAACCCTCTCACTTCCACACCTCTCCGCAGCCCGGCTACGCCTTGCAGGTGCCCCCACTTTGCCAAGCTAAACTCAGCCGCATTGTCATGAAACACAGACCAAAAGTTCTCCAGGGCAAAGCAAGATGGAAGCACCTTAATTCTCCCCTCCAATTTTCAAATTAGGGGTTTGCACCAATATCCTCTAAATCGACAGAAAATAAATCCCTGCCTAATTCACGCTGGAAGAGAAGTGTCTCCTCAACTAGTCCAGGAAAGTCCCTACGATCACCACTGCATTAACCATTGCATTAACCAAACGCAAACCTGAGCTGGCTCCATCGTAGCAGTCCTGACTCCGGCCAGAAGCCAGCAACTTTGCCAGCGCCCTGCTGAAAGCACTGTGTGGAAACGGACCCTTCTCCTCCACGATCTGTGCTTTCGATCAGGCACCTGTATTTGCAGTACAACGGGCACAAACTTCTGCCCTGGGGTTCCTCTTTAGGGAGAGGAAGCGGAGCTTATGACACAGAAAGAGTCCTATAGAAGTGTAAGGGAGAGGTTGGTATCTATTAATGTATTTACACACGTGCGCTCTCGCTCACTCAGGGTAAATGAAAGCAATGCCAGAATCAGAATATGAACTACAAAGTATTTTCAGGTGTTTTATTTTCCATCGATACTTAGGTAGCTTGCAGCGTGTACGGGTCTCCATGGGGGTGGGGGGGTGGGGGGGAGATGTGTATAAGGTTTATGTCAGCAACTGTTTGAAAACAGCAATGTACTTCTGTATTATCTTTCCCTGTCACTCGTTCCCCAGGTTAAAAAAAGGTAAAGTTTCTCTCTCCCATGCACAAACTATACAAAGAAGTAAAATCAGAGTCACCTTGTATTTGGGAACATTGCATAAGGTATAAATCGGGGCTATTTTCACTATCTGATCACAAAAAAAGGAAAAGTTTTATAATCTTTAGGGCTCTCATTTTTAAATAATAAAAAAGTATGACAAAACAAAGGAAAGTACTTAGATAAAACTTGCGACTACTAAGTACAAACTATTGATGACGAGATTTAGTAAGCGAAGCAGGACAGAAACCTGCAGGTAAATGAACTGAAATGCGACACAGACCGTGATAAACTCAGCAGCACGACATCTAGAACTCAAGTAACAAACAGGTGATAGACATGATCCCTGAAAGAAAAACAGAATACCCGGCTGGCAGCACCAGCAGGGTGCTGGAGCCCCAACCAGCCAACTTCTGAAAAAAAAAACCCAACCCAAGTTGGAAACTGCTCTCCAAATTAGTTAAAATATCCCAGTGCGGGGTTTCCAACCATCAAGAAATGAAAAAGTGTGGTTCAAAGTTTCTTAAAGGTTATTTGAGAGGGGAAAAAAGAACTAAGTTATTTAAAGGGTTGTTCTTACTTGGCAGGAATTACTCAATGAAACTTCAACATTCTTTAAAACCTATTTACTTGATTCAGTTTTGAAGCAATTTGAACCTCCCACATTCCCACAAGCAACCACCACTTTCTTGACTCCTCATCCCCAATCTATTTATGGTTTAATTGATTATAAAAGACTTATTTGCCAAAATATCAGCCATAAGGGAGGAATGTGAGAGGCACTGCAAAAAACAGCAAGTGAAAAATAGATACACGTGCCTGTCTGGGCAGAGGAAATGCGGCTGGATTAGTACGAGATCCTCTTCCAATTAATTGAGCCTTGTGCTCACCGCGCAGTCTGCAGGGAGACCGCACGCAGGCACGAATGGGGCTTTCTGGGAAAATTCACATTGCATTCACCGTTACCACCGGAGAAGATGATGGTCCCCAGAGTTGCCATCGTGAACGCAGCCTCGCGCCGCGGCCGGGGGAGCGGCACGGCTTCACCTTCCCCGCTGGCTCCCACGCACAGAGGCAGTTGTACGGACAGCGCTGTGTGTGTACCCTGCGTAAACGCACTCACGGGAGAAGGTCGGCTCTGCCCACCTGCATCGAAGGTTAAGAACAGACCACGAGGACAGTCGTACCCTCCTACTTCACCCAACAGTCCTTCCAAGCTTTAACTCCTTTTCAGCTACAAACCCAAGATTTGCTCGTTTGAACCAAAGCTATATAAATACATTATTTAAAAAACCCACAAATGCAAACATTTACCGAGAAAGGAAGAAAAGTTACAGTGAAATGAGGCCTTGTTATTGTCTTAAATCAGGCAAGCCAGGAATTTCCTCAAAGAGGCTTGTCTGGTTTCAGTCCCGTTCCAATCGCCCGCTGTCTATGCGTCCTCCAAACTACCTAACATCCCCTTGTCAACAAGGTGTGCTTTTAGCGTGTTGAAGATGTGGAGCTGCTGGTCCGGCCGCAAAGTTAAGAACTGCTGGATCAGTTTGCTTGGGTTGGGACCTCTGAAACACAAAAGCGTCATTTATCAATGAGTCACATTGCTAAGTCTTAATGCTGTGGCAACCCAAGTGCAATTTCTTCAAACTAAATAGGCTTAAAGTAAGAGCCGTGTCGCCCATTCCTTCACCAGCTCTACCCAGGGAGCTTCGCTCCAGTTGAGACGTGGAAATGGATTCAAAAGGCACAGGATGCTGAACTGCAAACAAAAAAACCCACCCCAAACCCAATCCTTTTCAACAGGGTTGTGCATCTTCACTTATCAGCAGGTGCTCCCCCTATCAAAGCAGCCACAAAAAGACAGTTCCTCAGCTCCTTCAGTACATCTTTTACGCACCTACAGGTTTTCTTCTACGCTCGGCTACAGAATCCTCGTTAATGCTACAAAATTAGATTTTTCTGCTCGTTCCACTCTGGACACCCTGCTCAAGGCTCACAGGGATGCAGAAGGGACATGGAGGAGCTTCAGAGGGCCTGGAATAACAGACCTTGGGAAATGGGCGTTGTGTTTCCAGCTCTGCATGACCCCGCTAAAAGATGCTTCCCTTCTTCGAGCCTCCATTTCCTCTCTTTCTTTGCCTTGTATTTTTAGATGTTAATCTAACGGAGATAACAACTGTCTCTTCTTACAAGCCTGTGTGTCAGTTGAGTTTGACAGGGCCCCCAGACTTCACCGCAAAGCAATAAATACCTGATAAAGCTTGCGATGTACACGTTTACGAAGGTGGCCATCAGGTACTGACAGTCGAAGCGGTCCATGATACCTCCGTGCCCCGGGATTGTGTTGGCGAAGTCCTGTGGAAAGCAGAAGGGATTGTACTGAGCAGTCCGGTGCCTGGATGTGCTGTGTGCCTCTACGCACGACACTCGCACCCTTGCTCTAATTCTTCCCAGAAGGCAAAAGTCAGGCTAAGAAGACGTTTTGTTTAATCTCTCCCTGGTTTTAAAAGCTTCTTCTTTATGAAGACTACCAGTGCCTGAGGGACATCAAGGCTTAACTCAGATCTGTCACTCGCAGGCCAAGGAAGGCTCATGTTTCTCTCTTGCAACCCTGTCTTGCCTTTCAAGGCATCTTAACCCAACACGGACTGTTTATACGTAAAACCAGCCTACAAGACATCAAGGGAAGCCTCAGATTGCAAAATTTCCTGACTGGGTCTTTCTTCCTCTACCTCAAGTTCTGCACCAAAGTGGGGTTTAGAATATGACAGCTGAAATGTTAAGGTCTCTCCCCATTCAGACAAAAAAAACTAGATCCTGCTCCAGCATTTTATCTGTGACCAACCAAACCTCCCCTCCCTTCCCAAAGCTCCCAGCCCGCTGCTCCTTAGAGCACAGGGGCTGTTTAGAGTGGGAGCGACCATGTAGTCTTTCCTTTCTAAAATGTAAATTACCTCCACCATCCTCACCTTGATTTTGAAGGCCCTCTTAAATCCACTAGCGAAGAAGCCCCCGAACGGCCCAATGAGGGAGGCGAAAGTAGACAGCGCAATGCTGTGGATTTGGAAGGGGTACATCCGGACTGTCTTCTGCAAGAAGAAAAATAGGTCAGAGAAGGATTTTCAACGAGAATAGCACTGTCCACCGCTTCCCCTCTTTCTGTGCTCTCCAGGCTTTAGACCAGTTAGTTTTCAAGTGGGTTAATGTCCCACTGGACTCGGGACAATTCCTTTGAGCCTTCAACCAATGCCGAACACCACCATATTCCCCTTTTTTCTGGATGCACCATCATCCCTGGTCATGTTCCTTCGAAGATCATCAAAATAAAGCCCTGATCTCTTTTCTTAGTGTTCCTACCCCAACAAATAAGACCCAGTAAACAGAGCCCTACCCAGCCCACCACGGACTGCAGCACCAAGGGGATGTTGTACTCCTGAAGCTGGAACAGCTCGGACGGCTCACAGTCCACTGTGAAGCTGTTGGTATCGTTGTTGAACTCCACCGGACAGGTGAAGCACCGGTACCCAGACATCACGTAGGACAGCTTCAAAGAGAGAGAAAAAGAGAAAACCGGATTACTATTTTCCTGAGCAATGCGGCAGAGCTGATCTCAAGGGAAAAGGCCACTCAAGGGGACAAGGCGAGGAGGCAGCCACACTCCCATCTTCATTAAGGAGATTACTCTCCTGAGAAGCAGTAATTGGCTAAAGGCAGAGTAAGCAATTTCGTTTAGTAAGTGCATCTGTTCAGCAAGCAGTGCCCAGAGCGCCGTACGAACAGGCTGAGACAGGACACACCACTTGGCTGAGAGGACAGAAACGGGCAGACACAGAGATCGGCATAAAAAGCAGATGAGAATATTCCAAGAGTGCTGCATTCCCCCCCACAGCCCTTGAAATGATGCACAGAATTCATCCAACACCAGCAGAGAGAAAATCCCAAGGATAATTATTGTCATGAACGTGTCACAGGGTCTAACAGGGACCAAAAAATTCCTCCAGTACTCTGCTCTGCCTGCAGTACCTGCACACAAAACACAGCCTGGGACCAGTTCAAATCCTGGTCAGTACGGAAAATGTGAAGTTGCTGACAAGAGCTTAAAGCCTGACTGCGTTTTTTAGACAAAACCCTGTCACTCTACGAAGGGAAAAGACCACTGAAATAAGCACCATGACTGCTACTTACCAGCAATCCAAACAGAACGGTGGCAAAAAATCCTCCAATAAAACCCTCCCAGGTCTTCTTTGGGGAGAGCTGCCAGAGAGAGAGAGAAGGGGGTAATTACCGACTGTACATCTCCACACACCACCGCACACCTACGCAGCCCTTCCTCACTTGTGGATTGCTGAGGCAAATACAAATTGGTGCCAACAACCAACAAATAAGAGTTTGGTCAGAAGCTGACACTAGCGTCTCGGTCTGAAACGGTTCATTTAACGTTTACAGCCTCAAAGAGTGGGATGCACACCAAGGTCAGGCTGGAGATTCAGACCCACAACAAGCCACAAAACTGGAGATGGGCGAACACAGGACTAAGACCCAAAGAAGGCAAAATGAGTGGTTCATCCACCAAAGCGTTACAAACCTTGATAAGCGGTGTGCGGCCGAAGAAGAACCCGAACATGTACGCCATGATGTCATTGCAGATCACGCAGGAAATTGGGACGATGAACCTAGATGGGAGAAGAATCAAACCATTGGGAAGTGCCAAGGTCAGACAACTCCAAGACTTAAATAAATGAGCAGCTGCTTCAGAAGATGCTTAGCAGTGCCATCACATCAACGTCTCCCCCTCTGATGCAATGCAAGGAGCGACCACTGTGAACCTCCTAGGGAAATCTGGGGGGGTACTCGAGCGCTCTGGACTAAAAAGCAGGTCAGGTACCAGAATGGCCTGTTTTAAGCACTTTTTCTTTTGCCGCACGTGACACGCTGTTAGGCAGTCGCCTCCTTTCCCCCAGGAGAGGTTGCCTTTTAGCTGTAAGCATGCGGCTCCCAAAGCACCCCGGGCTGGCTGCAGCCCGCAGAGGAACATGCAGTCTTAAAGCGGCCAAAGTTAGTTCCCGGCCCTGCTAGTTTTGGGAGGAACCTCTGCACAGCCGCTGGAGTAAGGTGGCAGGTTGCAATCTCCCTCCTTTCACAGTGCTGCTTTTCCCATTATGCTGTAACAGCACTGCCCCAGATCAAGTGCCGAGCAGCACTTTCCCGCCCATTTGCTAGATGGGGGTATAAAAAGAAAGCATCTACACAGGCCTGACACTGCCTGAAAGGTCCCTGCAGCCCACAACAACCTTCAGATTCTTCTTTACAACAACTCTCTATACTACTCAAGTAGAGCAAAGCAAGTTCTGAGTCGCTGAGGCATCACTCAAGCTTTTGCTTTTCTATTCTGAACAGGTTGAGCCCTCACAGGAGGCACCTTCTCTTGGCCATTTGTTTTTTAGAAGAACAGTTTTAACTCAAAACACGGTCAGTCGTTTCAGGCTGCAGAAATTAAAGCAACTCAGAACACAGAGCAACTCACCATATCATTCCTTCAAACAGGTTGTGAATGATGAGGTGCGACTGGGTAACAACAATTAGCAACGTCACATGGGTCCATCCAAACTGGAAGAGAAGACAGCATGCAGTCCAGCCTGCCCAGAGACACTGCCCGTACGCATCGCTGGCAGAAATCAGATGCGGGTAGCTACCTCTCAGACAGAGAATGGCTCATGCAAATGTGCAATTCTACCATGCACCTTCACCACGCCAAACACCGAGAGTCACGAAGAGCAGAGAACAGTCACCCGTAGTAATTTATGGGCATGTTCTTCAGCTCAAGCCCAGAGGTGACCTTCATTGGGAAGACTTCTGCTGGACCAAATGCTCTCTAGCCCACCCCTATCCCATACATCTCACTCAGCCTTCGGATTATATACGAGGAGAAGACTGACAGACGTCCGAGCCATATCCCTGTGTGCTGAACATACTGGAAAGCAAAACCAGCTGCGTCGACGGTCAAACACAGAATCACAGAATGGTTTCGGTTGGAAGAGACCTTAAAGATCATCAAGTCCAACCCCCCTGCCCTGGGTGGGGACACCTCCCCCCAGCCCAGGTTGCTCCAAGCCCCGTCCAACCTGGCCTTGAACACCTCCAGGGATGGGGCAGCCACAGCTTCTCGGGGCAACCAGGACCACGGTCTCACCACCCTCAGAGTGAAAAATTTCTTCCTAAATCTCACCTAAATCTACCTTCTTCCAGCCTTACTGATATTTGGGAAAAGGGCGACATAGCCAATTAACCCCGGTGACGATCTACCCTCAGTACAAGAGTCAAGTAGCCTTGTGCAGTCCTCTCAACTTGCAGAAAGTTTCTTAATAGTATCCACAAGTGCAGAGAGAAGAGAATACACGTTTGCAGGGAAATTCGGTCAGAGCCAGCTTCCTAAAAATACAGTCTGCTCACAGTAACTTGTCTTCCAGGCAGCGTTACAATGCCCAACCAGCACAGAAGCATCTACTGACACATATTCCTCTACGCAACATTTTCAAGCAGCCTACACTATTCATTCCTCTGCCTCCAACTGGGGGCAGCCGAGCCCTGCGTTTAACCTTACCATGTAGAACTGGAGGCGATAGTGTTTCTTCGAGAAGAGAATACACGTTTGCAGGGAAATTCGGTCAGACCCAGCTTCCTAAAATACAGTCTGCTCACAGTAACTTGTCTTCCAGGCAGCGTTACAATGCCCAACCAGCACAGAAGCATCTACTGACACATATTCCTCTACGCAACATTTTCAAGCAGCCTACACTATTCATTCCTCTGCCTCCAACTGGGGGCAGCCGAGCCCTGCGTTTAACCTTACCATGTAGAACTGGAGGCGATAGTGTTTCTTCACCAGACTCAAGACAAACATGCAGAAACCTGATGAGGGACAGAAGAAAAGTAAATGGCGGGAAGGTATCTTCAACAGTAAGAATACCTTTTTACCATGACATTACACAGCTCCTTAGGAGTTTACTCGAGTAAAGCAGCAATGCAGAGTGGGAAAACGCACTACTTAGGAAGTCACAGAAAAACAGGACACCTACAAGTAACACTTGGACAGATGAACAATCAAGGCTGGCTGTCCCATACAGATCACGGAGTTTTCTTCTACAGAGCCTCATGTAAGAGATTTGCCACCACTACCTTAACAGCCAAGGGCAGCCAAGTTACAGCATCACTGAGGAGCAGAGATAATTTGCTATTGGGCACAACACTCAGGACAAGAGTAGTTCAAGGAGACTTCCCTCCAGCCCAGATGAGATTAACCAACAGAAAATGTGGTCTCTACCTGTTAAGTAGAGGGCGAAAGAAATGAAGCGGTGGTATTTGCTGAGAATTCGCAGGGGCTCCTCTCTCTGAACCAGGGTGAAGAAATAGTCTGTCACAGTCTCACCATAGAAAAAGTAGTTGACGCAGAGCAGGAAGTACCTGGGAAGGACACAGAACCTCGTTAGCAGGAACCCTAAGAGGCTTCTGGACAAACACAGAACGTGACTGATCCCAAAGGTCTTTACACTGCTGTAGTACGCCGCAAACAGGCTATCTTCAAGTGACGGCCAGAAACTTTATTTCCCCCAGTTTAGGAATGTCACCTTCGTTTAAAGAGGTGGCTCCATCACTCAGCGCCTCGCCTCATTGCGATGGATCACACCGTTGGGGTTTGGTTTTGGCCTTCTGATGCAGAAAGACTTTCTGCCTTTAGGTGGCACTCCTCAAAAGGCCTCTGCAAGCGTGTGCATCCTAAAAGCACCTGCTCTGTGCCTTCTGAAAGCCCTGCTCCTGCCCCCTCCCGGGCCCTTACATCCCAATGTTCGGCCCTGTTTCACAACCACCTAAAATCTCCCCTCCCACCCAAGCAACCATGTCCATCTCTAAGTGGTGACGCCTGTCAATGCTGTCCCTTGCACAGGTCATGGGACTCAGATCTCTGCACTTCATTAACAACAGGATAAACTTTTTCAATATGTGTTCTTTCAAGATACCGATCTATCAAGATTTGTGGGAGCTTTTCCTTTACAAGACCTGCTAACACACGACACTGGTCAACACACAGCAATCCCAGGATCTCTGGTTTGGAGGTAGCCAGATGATTCCCGTGCTGCTGTCTGCAGTGAGATGAAGCAGTGCTGCTGCGCACACGCCTGGGGAGGGGAGCAGCCCCCTTGCTCACCAGCTGAGCGTCCTGAACCACGGCAGGTCGTACGAGTGGTACACATTATAGCCGATCGTGATAATCTCGTGGAAACATTTGATCTGGACACACATCACCTGCACAAAAAGACATGTTGGCTAAACATCTCTTTCCTCAAGGAGATAAAAAACACGCATGTGCATAACAAAACGCACTTTAGCAGTCGCTATCAGTCTGGCAGGAGTCTCCCAATCCAACATGGGAAGCTCACCATGTTGTTTCTCCCTCTCCTTTCCTCTGCAGGAGGTTTCTAACAACCCCTTGTATCGGTTTCAGTTGCAGCCAAATGCTGACTGCCAGGGCAGGCGGTCATAGATTCCTTCCAGGTTTCCTCCATGGAGAGAGAAATCCAGCAAGCTGAATAAGGACCTCTAAAATGTGAGGCTCTGAGCTGCCCACCCCAGCGATGGTCCCAGCAACCTTCCCACCTATCGCTGTGAACGTCAGGACATCTCTCTGGAGCACTTACTATTGTCATTAAGACCATGGGTCCCAAGTAGATGATGATGAAGAAGAAGGTGATCATTGCCAGCGTGAGGATGCCTCTTACCCACCAATTCTTCCATCTAGATCATAGAGAAGGAAAGATGTTAGAGAAAGCCAAAACAAAGCAAGGAAGCAGGAGAGCACTTCTGCTCTCTGCACATCACAGGAAGGCAACTGACCCTGGAAACCCAAAGTTTCCTTTCCGTGCTGCAGAGAGACCCCGATCCGCTGATGAAGCCTGGTCGCAGCAGCTGCAAGGCTACGGCTCAGCTCAGTCTTCCCTATGAACCTCACTAAATGCAGACGGCATTACCCAGGTGCAGAGCACCTCCAAAGGGCACTGAAACGGGACAGGAAAGCGTCTGCTCCTGCTACAGCTTTCCCACACCTTGGACAAGCTGCAGGATAAGTTCAAATAAAACGGGGACCGTTACCCCTCTCTGCACTCCTTTACCAGAGGAGACACGGGCCGTGGTGTCCCGTACCCTCGCTGCCCTCCAACACATCCTGCCTTGGGCCTCTCCCATCCTCGCAACACATCCAAGAGAGACACTTTGTCCCGTGACAGGAACAAGATGTTTTTTCCCCAAAGCAGTCTGTAGAAAACATTCCCAGTTTGTTCTTGGTCCTTATCAGCATCCTTTTCCCATGCATCCCTGCAGAAGCAGGTCACATCAGTGGTTAAAAACAACTGCAGGAAGACTTTGCTGAGAGTGCTGAGTCAAAGCAAAACGCAGTGTTTTCTGCCTCACCCAGGCAGAAAACCTCTTTTCACCTGCCAAGATGAAGCACGCAGCGAGGCAGCCCTCCCGCCGCCCTCCTCTGCCACGGGTCCTCTCCCACTGAGCCCTGAGCGCTGTGCTCTGCTCTCCCCACTAGCGGCACCCTCATCATGTTTCCTGTAGCCTCAGGGGCACCTTCCTGCTTGCACGTCAGGGAGGGGGGCACCGCGCTTCCAAGAGCTGCTTATTCAGCTTCCAGCAGCCACTGCCACACTGCCGGGGCTGGGAAAGCCGCAGTGGAGATGGAGGGACCCTGGCAGCAGAGGGGAACGGCGCTCAGTGAGTGGTACCTTGAGGACAGGTTGGAGAGAGCTCTGTTCAGGACCTCTGGAGTGTCATCAGATGTCGGCACTGGGGGCGATCCTCCAAATTCAGATTTGCTTTCGCTGTCTGATGCGGTCTCTCCATCCAGCTTGTTCTCAGACTCTGACTCCTGCAAGTCAAAGAGACACAAAGAGCTTTACTGCACGCAGTGCCGGCACTCTCCAAAGAAACTCAGACCGTCCCACTGGATGTACCACTTACCACCACTCTGTGTCTGCCTGAAAGAAAGAGAAGAAAATATTCTGGGTATTATATGGGGTTATAGCCATGAGAAACAACAGCGAGTGTTCTGGGTGACATACATGATGGGGTTTACTCTCCATCAGTCTCCGCAGCAGCTACAGAAAAGGATCTGTTCCCTCCGAACAGTTAAAGACGCAGTTGATTAATAAGTATCTCTGAGTGCAGCAAGTGCTTAAGGGACACAGGCTTGTTAGCAGGAATTTTTACAAGGTCTCCCAATCCCCAGGCAGATCTCCAAGTATGCAACACTGCCCAAATTAGACAGAAAGAAAGGCTTTCCTCCAAGCGGACAGGCTCAAGGCTTCCAGACAGACTTTTCAAGGGCTGACTTTACACACGGGCACTAAAAATAACACCGAGCCCATCCTCAAATAGCCGAAGAGGAAGAACATGGCTTATCGCTCAGGCCCCACCATCCTCTCCGGCCACAGAAGAAACCTGATGCACTGGCAGTACCTCCACGTGCTCTCCCCGGCCCCTGTACTGCTCCAGCACTTAGCTCAGAGCAAAGTCCTGTATTTAGGGGGTAAATAAGTACAGGCGAGGCAGGAGGTTACTGAAGGCTCTGCAACAGGCCAGTGGGGGAAAAAGGATTACAAACGACCTCCTGGCTCCCAGGCAGTCCCATGCCTTCTCCCCAGTGGCAGTTTTCCCTCTGGTCCAGCTCCTGAATAGAGAACGAACACAAATTTCCACGTTTGGCCCCTCATTTCAGCCGCAGAGCTTCATCCTGCTCCTCAGTCCTTGAAGCAAGGAAGCAAAACGCCGTTCCCTGGGGAGCGCTCGTGCATCGGGCAAGGCAGAGCCCATGCATTTGGCCTCAGACCATGGGCTATTTTCAAACTCCCGGAAAAGAGAGCGTGTTTGCAGGAAAAGCAAGGAGGGAGCCAAGCTGACAGACGCTGGGAGCTCTGCAAACAAAGCGACTTCAGCCCTTTGGGCTCCCGGGCAGCGCTGCCCCACGCTTGGAGAGGGGGGGACTCCCACCAAAACGAGCATCCACTGGGGCTGCTTTGGTGTAACCCAATCCAGGGGTATCTGTAGTTCACTGGAGCAGTAAGACTTGAGTAGCTCCCTTATTTAAGGCAGGAAAAGATAATTACTCCCCAAGCTGCAATGTATCAGTGGCTGCAGGCCAGGTTCCTACAACAGACAAGGACAGCTACACACCGTCAGGTGGAGGCAGCTAAAAATACGATGGTGTTGTCAGAGAGGACTTCCGCGGATGAGCGAAGCACCGGCCATCGCACCAGTTGCACCCCTGTGTCACCTCTTCCTCGCCTTGCTCCACGCTCACGTCCTTCCATTCCCGTCAACTGGGAGGGAAGAGGAAAGCAAAACGGAACGCCTCTGCCAGCGCTCCCGTGGGTGTGGAGAGCTCGCAAAGAAACGCAACTTGGCTTTTTCTTCAGCTGGTTTTTAACTGACCTGTACAATCCACTTGTCCCTCTGACTTCAGAGAGATTTACTGCCATTTAGCTGGGAACACACAAAAGATCAACTCCATAAGGCAGCTGCAAAGGGCAGCACGCAAAAAGACTGGAAATGATAAAACTCCCTGAAGACCATGAGTTTGGCATCCCATAGCACAGCACAGGTCAGGGGCCCGGTTCCTGGGCAGGTTTTGGGAAATCAGTCTGCTGTATTACAGTCGATGTTTCCCATTGCAATGCTTTCTCTGTGCTTTCTCCAAGAAAAGGACTCTCTGAAGAATTTCCCCGAGAGCAATCTAAATAACAGAGAAAAGCTTCAGCTCCAGCCTGACCAAGCTCCGTTTCTGCTTCTGCCCTTCTAGATTACATTTAGGATACAGGGGCTTTGCTCCTCTTGTTGCACATTTCTAAAAAAGAAAAATTAATGTGACTGATTCAAATGTAATGGGCAAGGAAGTGCTTAGGTACTTAAGGGCAACCACCATCATCTCTATAGGCTAAAGCCAAAAACCTTAAGCGGAATTTGTAACGCAATCCAAGTATCCATCATCTCATGCAAGCCCCAGGCTCGCCGCTCGCCAGCCATGCGATAAAAGGAGTAAGTATGGAAACGAGGAAGCAAATCCAAGCCAGCATCCCTGCATTTTATTCCCCAGAGCACTGACATTGCAGGGCTAAGTGCAAAGCAGGCAAATTACTCCGTGCCTGTAGCCCAGGGGATCAGAAGTTTCGCAAAGTGCCCAGAGACCAAAAGAAAGGGAAA